TTGGAGAGATGCTGGCAATAATACTGCATTGATTGTGGGAGTAATCTGTGTTGCCACGGTGCCAAATCTATTATTAATGGCTATTTATATGAAGTCACATGCCCGTGGCTGCTGGAATGTGCCACAACTATGTATGTAGGGGGTGTTTCGGTGGGACTCACAATAATATTATTATGGGCAGTGTAAACTGGGATATGAGTGGGCATGTGGGTGCTGATTATATATGAATTAAAGTCATTTACCTCAAAGTATTGTTCTAAATTATGATTATTCATTCTTTTCTTATATTTTGCTTCATTTTTGTTATTTCACAAATGTACATACAGGGAGTATACCTGTACTGTGTACTGTTAACGTCGTCAGATTCAATGTTTCTTCCTAGCTCTCTGTTTTCATGTTGTCCAATGGCATTTATGGAATTTCCAAGAACTATATATAAAGGAAATATATGGGTGTGGCTTAATTTAGCAAATACTGCATGATTAATGAAAACAAAATGCTCGGGCTTGGATAACCGTTACTTTCATAGTGCCAGGTGTGTTTGATTTGTGTATTTCGCATGAACAAAACCCTAAATGCTCATGTTTTGGAACCAACAGTTGAAGAAAGTCCTTTTAGCTGTTGGAGTTTTTTTCCTTTGATCGATGCTTGAACTGTTCATACCCGGTAGTATGAAATGTTAAGCACCCTGGTGTGTTTACTTTCAAAATGTGCAGGATTCCTAAATTACTGTTTTTATTTTGTCCACCCTGTTAATTTTTCTCTGCAAAAATCTTAGAACCAAGAAATTTAATGGAATAGGACCACCTGTATGCATATTAGAGATCAAATACCAAATCAAAGAACATTAATATTGATATTCCATAATTGTTCAATTAATGACATAACGAACAGATGTGCGTCCTATTTTAGATATGTGACTGTACGCGTATGTCCTTGACCTTCCATAGGAAGTCTGGTCTTCAAGGAAATAAACGCAAAATTAGCAAATGGATGAGTGTAGTTAATGGTTTCATCTTTAACCCTAGCTTTTTGCTTCATGAAGATGGATGATTTGTGTGGTTGCCAGCCTTAAGTTGTGGTGGGGGTGTTATTAACTAGAGTAGGGTGTATCAAGGCTTAATGTATCGTATGTACACCTGCAACCATGCAGTCCTAATGATAATTTGTACATCAAAGCAATTTTAAAAGAAAAGATGAAAATAACGATTGATCTATTTCCAATATTGCATGCTGAAAAATTGAGTTTTTGTTGTATTTAATTTAGTGAATCAATATATTAAGGATAAGGTTACCGTACAAAATGCATATAGGGGTGAAGATTTAAAAAGAACATGATTTGACAAAGTTCAGCTCATGTTTAAAACTTACAATTACAAAACTTTGTAAATGATAATTATATAGCTTTATCTGGAGCTTTCGATATTTGCAGACATTCTTTGCAAATTACAGGTAAAATTTCAACTTGCAATACCATTTTTTTGTCAAATAAAGTAGCACTACCGGTATACACTTTTTTAACTATTGAAGTTAGTGTCAAGTACATGTCCCAAGCTGGCGTCAAAGTCAGGGTGACACTTTAATGGACTCAGAGGTTCTTTCAGTCCTCGGGTCATGTGAGTGTCGATAATGAAAGGCTGGCATCTCAGTTTGATCCCCAAGGGTTGGAGTTCTGGACATAAATGCTTTACACGGCACTGGTAGGAGTTCCGAGTTCTTCTCGGCATTGCTGATCCTATGTTATAGCAAATTAGCCACACTTCAAGCATGGGTAAAGGATTCACCATGCTTCTTGAGCCAAGCAGTGAGAGTCCACCCCGCAGGAAGACTACATCCTATCAGTACCTTATGCAGCTTGTAATTACCAATTTCAAACAGAAGCCGTGTGTGATGCTTTGTGGCAGTTGGCTGGTTATGCAATTTAGTCAAGGACCGTCGTAAATTATTCATGAGGAGACACATTGGCAGACTTTTTTTTGACAACAGGAAGGATCATCAAGCACGGTACCGTTGTGAAATATTTCATCAAGGTTTAATTTTCTTCCGATGTACAGGAGAAGTACAAATGTATGACTGATATCACACATGTCCTTGAATAGACGAATGAATGGTTGTTATCAGCGTAACATGTAACATTAGTCCCATAGGATAAAACAGACTAAACCCTAAGATGGTTTTTGAATTCATAATGAAGTTAGGAACCATACACAATACCCAACACAAAATTTAAAATGAACTGTCTTTGCTGGTTTTATACCACCATCACTGCTTTTATTCCATTACTCATGATACATGTAATATACTATATGATATCATATTATTATCATATTACAGTAATTTATCACTATTATTTGGGTATAGGAGATAATTATATAATATAATCATGATATTATTGCACACATGGTACTGCTGCAAAATAAACTGCTAACATTCCTGTAACAATGGAATAGATGTTGTAAAAAATTATTCTGCCAATTTCCACCAATTTAGTTTCCTTGTATACCATTCACTTCCCAGGATTTTGATATTTTTATGGGAAAAAGGCATGTACATGTACCTAATATTAACAAGACAGAATTTCTAACCAGGTTGTGCAGTGTTGGTTGCAGTTCCAACTCTGACTACCTGAGGGAGTTAGGGAAATCAAGAAACAGCAGCCTTCAATTATGATTAGAATTTTCCTTCTGATTGCATTTTGTACATCACAGAC